TTTTAGACTTTGAGATGTAGCTGTTTTAAAAGATTACTCTTCAATGTGTTCAGATCTATTTCTCCTATTTTACACGCTAGATCATGACTAGCATGACAATCTGATGGCCATGGTCTGTTTGATCCAGTCTCTACCAAGAATTTCCCCAGTTTCTGCACATTATTTCCAACATTTGGTAGAATTAGTGTTGGGTGGCTGAGCTATTGCTTTTTAACTGATCTTTTGAATTTGGCAAGCCAGTCAGATAGAAAAAGGCTTGTTCTCATTTGCAGGCTTCAGGATCAGAGATACCGTATTTTTCAGAGTATAAGACGCATCTTTTTCCTTCAAAAAAGAGGCTGAAAATCTGGGTGCGTCTTATACACTGAATACAGCATTTTTTGCCTCCCAAAACCCCACCCCTTCACCAAAATGGCCATGCATAGCCTTTAGGAGGCTTTCAGAGTGCTCCTGGGGGTTGGGGAGGGCAGAAATGAGCAAAAAACTATCATTTTTGGCTCAATTTTGCCCCCCCCCAGCCCCCAGGAGCACTCTATAAGCTACCTAAGGGCTATGCAGCCCCCCCTTTTTTTGACAAAAATGGACCGTTTTTGGGAGGTTTGCAGAGTGCAAAACTTTTTTTTTAAATTTGCCTCTTCAAAATCTTGGTGAGCCTTATACTCTGGTGCGTCTTATACTCTGGAAAATAGGGTATATCATTAAGGAAGAGCAATTATGTTTTTGTGCACATTGATGTGTATATGCATGACTATGTATATAAGCGCGCATGTGCAAGACTTTTCATCTCAATTAGAAATCTTGTTCTCTCTCTTCTCTGCCAGAGAAGCAAGTCTGTGTGAGTGTTTTTGTTTTGTACTTGAACATACTGCAGCTACCTTCTGGAGTTCACACATCATCCTACCTCTCTCCTGAGTACAGCACTGCTTCTGGAGAGAGGAGGGGTAGTGTGAATGTTAACCGTTACTCAAGTGTAAATCCTAATGCAATTAAAATTTAGGTATGTTCTACCTACCAATTAAGAATGATGAAGGTTATTGCGAAGATAACTCCAACACAAACTATAACTCCAGTTATGAGGACAAATACCAATACGATATCTGTACTTGGCTTCTTCAAACGTCTTGTTTCCAGCTCTAAAGAAAAAGAAAATTCTCGTTGCTGTGATGCCCGTTATGGAAATAAACTGCATGAAAATTAAACTAGATGAAAATTAGAAAAGAGAGTCTTAATTTTCCACGCATTTTAAGAGTTGGATAGTATTTTATGAAAAGCTAAAAAAAATACAAAGAAAGTATGCTGTACACCTGCACTATCATAGATTGCTTTATATTGACTGAACACTTCCAAACGGCAAATGAACAAAGAAATTCAATTAAAATTGTGAAGTTTCTGTGATACAACAAGACATATAAAGGAATATCTTTTAATAGTAAGATCAATAACAAGACAGAGCTTTACCACACTCTTAGGCAAAATTGACCTTCAAATAGTTGGAAAAAAGCTGCCTCACTCTGATAAGATTAAGTGTATAGCAGCAGAAATAATTTAAAAGAATGTGTGGGAAAATAGAAAAATAAATAGATACAATTTATGTAAGATTTCCATTAAAAACTGTCTTAAAGTGCAATAGGCCTTTGAAGTGTTACATAAAACATTTTAACGATGTGAGGTTCAGGTGGGCTAAGTAAATAAAATACTGACAGTTCAAAACAATACATAATATTTGAAGTAAAGTTCGAGTCATGACTATTGAAGTTATTTTGATATATTACAAAGAATGATTCTAACAGAGAAAAAGCTAAAGTAAGAAAAGCTGTGGAAAGTGCTGTACTCCCAAGTTGATGATTAGTACAGAACTAAATAACAACAAAGGAAATTTTCACATGTCATTTATCTATTATTTTTAAAGTATAGGTTACTATACTGGGTGTCTGTTTCTGAACATCTCTATTTATGACATTTTTGAAATGTTATTTTAAGATGGTGATACATAATGACAGCTTAATAGCACACATTTGTCACAAGACTGAATTACTAGATGACATTAAAAAAAAATACTAAAAGAAATACTCCTCTGTCCTCTAACCAGATTGAACTACATTTTAATGATTCTATTTAAACATCTCAAAGATCATGCCTTTTAAATTGTGTATTGTTATGTTTGTTTTTATCCCCTGTCTGTACCCCTTCCCTGACTGAATTGTGAGCCGCCCTGAGTCCCCTTCGGGGAAAAGGGCGGCATATAAATGTAATAAATCCANAAAAAAAAGTTGTTAAGTGAGTTTTGCCCCATTTTATGACATTTCTTGCCAGAATTGTTAAATGAATCACAGCAGTTAATAAGTTAGTAACCTGGTTGTTGAGTCAATTTGGCTATCCCATTGACTTTGCTTGCGAGAAAGTTGCCAAAAGTGATCACATGACCCCGGGATGCTGCAATGGTCATAAGTATGACCCAGTTGCCAAGTGTCTGAATTTTGATCACATGATCATGGGGATGCTGCAAAGGTTGTAACTGTGAAAAAAGGTGATAAGTCGCTTTTTTCTGGCCTTTGTCTAAAGCAGCGGAGAGCCTTTTGTGGGTCACATGATCTATTTGATAGCGGCTGTTTTGTCCAGACACTCCTTTCATATTATTGTGTGGTGTGGATTGTTATTTTAAATCTAATATATTTTATGCTGCTGGGAGTCATAATGGATTGTGCACCTTAAACATTTAATTGAAAATAAATACATCAACAACTCTGTGGTTCTTCCTATAAAGATTCATTTAAGAGAAGTACTATCTGACTAAACAGTTACAAATTTCATGAACTTACCAGCTGTGGTGTAAACTGTGTATTTTACAGATGCAATCAATTCATCATGTTCTATTGTATCGCACTCAAATGCAACGGGATGAGTATCTCTGTGTACTTCCAAAATAGCTGAATCATTAGGAATAATGAGTGATTGCTATAGATTCAAAGGTGATAAAAAAGACAAAATGAATTTCGTAATTAGGAATTTACATCAACATCTTGTGAAAAGTTTGGTGCTTTTTTCCCTGTGGTCTCTTATAATATCCAAAACAAAAATATTTTGAAGACTCCAGTCACGTTATCATTTTAGTTCACAAAAAGGGATCCTATACTCCTTTAAACCCACAACACTAAGGACCCCACAATTTGCCACAGTGACAGAGATTGCTGGGAACTATTTGGCAACATTTGGAGAGTCAAAAATTGGCCGTTCATGTGTAATTTGTTTATTTATTTTAAATACATAAATCCAGCTGCTAACAATCCATACAAAAATAAGCAGTAACTACATTACAATCCCATAAAAACAAATGCACATACCATATTTTTNAATATCATTATTATTATGTAATGATATTACAAATACATGAAATACTACATTGTTTTAAATTAAACAGAAATTCTGCAAGTCACTATTATCTCATTTGCATATTGAAAATACTTCATGTTTTAGCCAGTAATACATTTATTAAAGATGCCCCAAATAAACTAATAAAAAATGTGTTGGCAACATAAGATGCAGCAAGCCTAGCATGTATATAATTAGGAGCACTCACAATAAATGCATCAAAATGCATTTGAATTACAAAAATCCCCACTTGGTTGGAAATTCTGGCATTTGGGTTCTAAATTTACATGGTGGATATTAGGTTAGGAGGTTTTTCATATAAAATGTGAGAATACCAGCTCAGATTCGATTGGGCAGATCATATTTTATTATTAGTTGTTTGTGTGAATGGCTTTTAAAATGCAAACTATAACTGCAATAGCTTACTTGGATTACAACCATAGCAAACAGCTATTTCTTTCCAGACTGGCTTCACAGTCCTCTCCTGAAACATGATGAGGGAACCTTGCATTGGCTCAAACAACAGGTATATAGTCCTTTTCATTCAGCAGGAATCAATGAGTTCAACCTACATATTACTCCCCTACGAATGTTAATACAACTGGTAATTACCTAATATATGTTTTCTCTTTAATCATAACAATTGTATCTATTAGACTATGAACATTCACTCTCTAGACTCATAGCTACAATGCTTGTTAGAGCCACACAATTCTCTGATGTCACAGTAGGATAGTGTAATCATCTGGCTTCAAATAGTCTGGTAGCTATTTAGAAACCAGTAAGAAGCCAGAATCTCTCCCTTGAGATAATCATCAGTGCCGTTGACTTGATAATAAACATTTGTAACAGAAGCAAAATACAACTAGAAAATCTGATTCCTGTTTTTTGCTTTAAAAAGTATTCAAGGATTGCAACATGCACTTAAGTGGATATTAATAATCGCAGGTTGGATTCTACATTGTAGAAAAGGTATCCGTTATAGTCATTATCAGTTTTGTTTTAAATAATACAGGATCTTTAGGATTCAAAGGTTTTCAAACAATTTGGCAGGTAGGGTAGAATCAAGAAATCAACTGAATGTTCTTTTTAATGGCATACATGTTTGTAGACAATTAAGCCATCTCATTTTATTCATAAAACTAATGGTACTTCTGCCATTATCTAGTATAAATACTAAATAAAATGTAAAATAAATTTAACTATTAGGAGTTGTTTCATCATCTACTCAAAAGTTTAATTTACTTCATATAAGGTCGTTACAGAATGGGTACGGTTTAATGAATTTTTGCTATCATGAAGAAGGTGTCTCTGAGGCCTTTTCCAAACATCTCTTTCTGGCAAGTGTATCACATATAATAAACTTCTGTAAGTGTAGCTGTAATTGATACGAGACTATTCTAATTTCTTACGTGTGATACGGAAATCCATCAGATGGGTGGTTTTTATTTGTAAATGTAACATAATAAACTGGTCTGTGCACACAGACAAAAATTATTTCTGGACCTAAATCCATAAGTATAGTTTATGTAGAAAGTGTAATATGCACTCATCAAATATGCAACATTCTCATCAAACATTCTACAAGCGAGTAAGGAAGTGCAAACAGTATTTGCGTTCATTCTGATATATCAGTAGATACACAAGTGCCCGGGGTACCAAATTTGGTGTTTCATAGCGCAATGAATCAAACTGAGGTTTGAAGGGATGGTGGTAAGAGATCAAAGACTAGGCTGAGGGAGAGACATACCTGTGATTCAAAGATGTAGAAATAGCATCAGTCATATATAAATTGAGAATATAAGCTAAAGTTCCTCTTCAAGTTGTGCTCATTTCATAATGATTTCATGGAGTGTCTATATAGTTTTCTTACAATATGGAGATGCCTTCCCGGATGGTTTTCCTCAGTCTTGCTTATAGCCTAGAACCTGGTAATCTTCATCAAAATACTAACCAACTATGATCCTACTGAGATTTCTAAGATCAATGTTAGTGAAAAGCAGGGCAAATGGGCAAATCAGGACTATTTTTGATTTTGCTGCAAATAAAGAGATGGGTCACTCTCATTTGATCTTTGCTCTGTTCCAGTAATATAATAGCTAAAAAAGATATCTAGAATATTATCTTCAGACTAAGAAAAGCAGAATGCAACTCTCCTCTGCTACTTGTCAGAAGTTATCACGAGGGCCTAAAGGGACTAAATACTGTTATTTGATTTCAAGGGTCTGAATACTGTTATACCGCCCTGAGTCCCCTTCGGCCGCCCTGAGTCCCCTTCGGGGGAAAAGGGCGGCATATAAATATAATAAAAATCCAATTTATTTTCAAGTTATTTAAACTTGAAAATATGCTCCAGCAAAATGTATACAGCAGTTAAGAATTTCAGTTAAGAATTGTTTAGATTCAATGTTTACTTGTACAGTATACACAATGTAACAACAACAAAAAAAACCCTCTGGGTTGAGGATGTTATGGAAAACATTAAAAAGAGTATAAGAACTTTCCCAAATTAGATGTTATCCCAAAACTTAAAGCAGCAAAACAGATTTGATAGTTCTTTTTTAAAAAGGCTTCAAGCTATTATTAGTTCAGATACTATTAGTGTGTTCTATATGAGGCTTGTATTGGCTTTTGTTCAAATTACTCTACTTTTGCACAAAGTTCTAAAAAAGATTTTAGAAAACTGACACCTGATAATAGTGATAAAGACAGCAGAAATATTTCAAACTGCTCTCCTTCAGATCTGAAGGATGCATTGTCTCCTCTTTCTTGCCCATGGTTCCAAGATTTTTGTTTTTATATTATCTTTTGCTATGGTGCAAACTCTCAACTTTGATAATCCAAGTTTTGAGTCACGAGCGTCTTACATACCCTGTATACAGGGTGATATGGAACAATACTTTTCCTTTTCTGTAGGAGGAAAAAAAAACAACTTCTGAGGGTTTGAAGACTTCGTATCTCTAGGAAAAGGAATCCTGTGTGGATATTAATCTAAGGGGAGGGGAGAGAGAAGATTTCTTTGAAAATTATGAGCTGGGACAGCTGTCATCTGTGGAAGGCAAAGGGAAATATTTTGTTTCTCGGCAAAACAGCAAAACGGCTGAATATTGTCTTCTTTAGATGTTATCGCTATTATTGAACCTCTTTAGATCATTCCAGATAATGACAAATCTAGTTAATATGCCACATGTGTTTTACAGGGCAAAGTGTTGCAAAGCAACAGCCTTTGCCTGCAAAGGAAATGGACTGAATTAATGAAAACTGAGTGCGGAATTGCCTCAGCACAGCCAACTGTGCCATGTTCATGTGGGAGATGCTGCCATTTATGAAAACTGGCCAGCTGCCTCCTCCACCTCCTCCCCTGTTGTTGCCAACACACTCCTTCACATGGGTGGCAGAACAAGGAGCACACTCTGGCTCTCGTCTGGCTCTCTCCTCACATGGCAAGATAAGAAGAATCATCCCTTTCACTTACAACACACAGCTTCCCCCGCAGAACTATTATCAGAAAACATGAATAAACTGCCTTATGTCACTGGTTTTGTCAAAAGCAAGTTACAAACCAAAATAGGCTAGTGTATGAAATAGAGCAGCAGTGCAAGAACAAGCCCATATACCAAATTCATTTATTAATGAGAAGATGGAAAACAGTTAAAAACATAAAAGGGGTTTAATTTTATTTCTACTAGATGTAACCTGTTAGTATAGGCAACATGCAGATCAAGATCTATTGACAGATCCCCAGCAATTTGTAGTGTATCAGTATAGGCTTTTTTTAAAAAAATAAATAAATCCCACATATTAGGAAAAATAATGTTTTTTTTTTTTCTATCCTAAATTTTTGGAGCGAGGTGGAGTATTTAGGAGTGACTTTTTATAAAGATGGGATATGCCCATGGTATATTCTGATGTGTAAAGCAATTTCCTGGCCCATAATTAGAAGTAGTTGTGTTTTGCAACAGACTCCAGTTGCTGTAACTCATGTTTAACAAAAACAAACTCACAAATTTTAAATCTGACAGTTTCTGAACCAGTACTTGATTAAAAATTGAAGCCACTTTAATTGTGAATACAAACAATCAAAGATTAGTACAAGGGAAATGAACTTCGTCCAAAATGCTCCCTTTGGGTAGCTTTTATACTATATATGTCTTATTCTTAAATCCACCTCAAAACTGAAAGATTGCTTATAATAGTTAACGTGCCTTTTACATTTCCCTGCGCTATTGCCCTTCAAATCCGTAATGAAAATTTCTGAATTGCACATGATGTACAAGAAAATACATTTTCTTGGCTACATTGTTTATATTATTCCAACTATTTGAAGAATGACAGTTTTGTATCTCTAGTTTTTAATGTATGCAAATAAAAGACAATTGCACTGCTACTTTCTTCATACTAAGAGAAGACTCTATTTACAAAATAGCAATTGTGTTCAAATTGAGTTTCTAGCTGATGGCATTAAATTGGGGCACTAATGGTAGGAAAACTACCACTAAGAGCAGCAAAAACATAACCTATAGAAGGATGGGGGAGAGCTGGTAAATAAGATGTTTTTTTATTTTTTTTCCCCAACTCATTTTTTAAAATTCCATTCTCAGAATCCTTTGAGAAAAACTTAAACTAAAAATACCGTGCTACTTGGTTTTGTTTTGTTTTTTGTTATATGAGTTTTGTTTACGACTGTTTGACAATAAGGCTGGCTGGTGGGAGATGAATCAAGTTCGATATCATGAAATACAAGTGCTGCAAAACTATAATAGCCTCCAAAAAATACATAAAAAATTGTGAAACTGTATGCATGTAAAGCTCACCTCCTCAAGTATCCATGAATAGCCATAAGCCCAGAGAAAAAAATGCCCTTATTTACCAGGAAAAAATGATTCCTTTGTCTCATTTATGAATTATGGAGGGGAAAAATAATTTTACATATATGTCACCAACAATAGAAATGCAAACATAAGCATTGGAAGGTTAGAAAGGAAGGTAAGAAATCAAGAAAATGCCCAGTCTTGCTCTTCTCATTTCTGTCTATAAGTACAGGATGAGTGTTTGCAATGGGGGGAAAAACTATTATTCATGAAAACGCTCTTCATAAATTATGAGCCTCAACTGATGGTGTCTCATTATCGGAGAGGCTGATGGTGGAAACTCATCTTGTGTGGGACTGATATGAGGATGAGATTAATACACAGAGCAAGAAGTCCTAATTTCCGGGAAGTAAGAGCCATCTCACTGGAATTTACATAACTGACCTTGTTACTTGCAGCTGAGCACATGGGTATTGCTGATTACTTTTTCAATCACGAAATGAAATGGAAAACATGTTTTGTACATGAAAAGTCACATTCTGGCTCATCAGATACAATATTCGAATGGACCATTTTGCACAGGCCACTGTTCAGCCAAACCAAAATCCCAAATCCTGTCAATGCTTTTCCTTAATCACTATACTTGAATTCAAACGTATCACATCCAACTGGCCTATCTGCGCCTATTTTTTGTAATCTTACAGTGCCTTCCTTTCCCTAACCTCCTATTGGTTTCACTGCTGGCTATGATTTTTCCTAACCGCTTCTCACCCCAAAATGCCTCTGCTGAGACTCATTTTCACAAACCAAACATACATGATTTAGATCTATACCTTGACAAAGCATATCTGTTTCGAACCAGGCATTGACAAGTGGAATGTTGGTGTAATGGTGAAAGTGCTGGCCTAGAAACTAGGAGACTGTGAATTCTAGTCCTACCTTAACCGATGAAAGCCGGTTGGGTGATGTTGAGCCAATCAATCTTTCTCAGCCCAACCCACCACTTGGGGTTATTGTGGATAAAATAGGAGGAGGGAGTATGAGGTATGTTTCCTGCCTTGAGTTACTTATAAAGTAATAAA